GAGAGTCGTGCTCAAGAAAGAATCTTTCAAAGCCGAGGACACACTGAGCAAAGGCGAGCAGACTCTCAGCAGATCCAAGTGGCTTGGAGGCGCCTTCTAGTCTCTTGTAGGCCTTGGATTTCTGCGGGGCCGGATGTGCAGGGAAGGGTCAGGGCAATTGTTTTGGCGAAACGTGCGCGCGTTTCAGGGTCAAGATGCTGAGGCTTTCTTGGCGGCGGATTCAAAGTTTTCGTGCTTGGCGGGTGCTGGCATTGACTCGAGTGATCGTTTCTTTTGGGTTGCTGTTGACGCCCTGCCAGCTGGTCGCAGTGGGTGACCCAAGTTAATCTCAGTTTACTGACGCATTTACAAGAAGTACCTCCTGCACCGCGTTTGCTCGTGCTCCTCCTTCGGCCTCTTTGTGGTGATGATATTGTCGGTGGTGCCGCAGATGCTGAAATGAAGTGCCAGTGGTCGGTTATCGCACTTTTAAATTGTTTCGGCCGTGCCAAGACCGCTCGCAGCTATGGCTTGAAATGGGCTCAACCTAGCCTAGGCCCTGAGCCCTACTGTAGGCGCTTTAATCCAATGTCTCAGGCAGAGTCTGGGTTCAAAAAAAAATCCAATGTCTCAACCCCGAGGGCCCAAAGCGCATCCCTGATCCTCGAAGTCTCAGTGTGCATGTCCGCGACGCGCGGCCCCCCGCCCTCCAGCCTCGGAGCCTTGTCAGGGCTTGGCTCCCCTTCGCTGACTCTCCGGAGTTCGCAAGCCTCTCGTTTCGCTTAGAAGGCTGCATCATCCCCATACCAGCAGTCACGTCTTTAGTTCTTGTTATTGGTTTCTGTTCTTGTATTTGATGCAAATTGTCATTCATGACCTAGAGAGTTTTCATGCTGTCCAGCATGCAGGGCAAAGAAGGTAGATCTGCAGCAATTTCTTCTTCCATAAATGCAAGCCACACTCTTGTTTTTGGGCGTGCGTGTGTATGTGTGAGGAACCTGGTCCCTAGAGGTTTAAGGTTTTCGGGATTTGGTTCAAGGAGCTGGGACTTTTGCTCCGGCACAGGCAGCGCACAGGAGATAGTATTCCGAGGGGCCAGGCTGGCAGTCAGCTCGATGACATGAATGAGACCATGATACAGATGGTACCCCCGGTAACTACTACCATGATCTTAGTTCCATCGCCACTAGCTCCGACGGCACGAAGCATGATTACTGGGATAGATTGTGCAGCTTCTGAACGGAACTACTGTTTACACACCTTTTGGGGAACGCCTTGAGCTCGCATGGGAGCTGTTCTATTTTCGGGCCAGTTCGCGGCACGTACGATGAGCCTGATAGGAGCTAGCTCTACAGGGAAGCCTAGCTTACGGCACCTTCTGTGTCGGCAACTTCTTCGGAAAAGCGGTGCGGCGGTGAGGGTTGCAGAAAGCAAGGACGGTGAGGATGAGACCCCTGCCATGAACCACTTGGGGAGCGAGGCCTCGCAGGAAAGCTCGGGCATTCGAAAAGGTTTGGGGTCAGGACAAGAAACGGATCTGGAGCTGTGGGCCCCTGCACGTTAAGTTCCAGGCTGTGGGGTTTGGGCTTCAGAGTTTTTGGGGCCGAGGTTTTGAAGTTCCGGGAGTTCTTGGGCTCAGAGGTTTAGGGTGTTTCTTCCGTTCCTGGTGGGAAAGGCACTGCCCCTTGCCTGATCCGACGAATCGATGAGCTTGTTTGCTTGATCATTTTTCTTCTGGATTTTAGGGTTTCAGTGCTGATGCCAAGCACTTGCACTTTACTGTCAGGCCGAAATCCTCTGCGGAAGCTCCGATGCTAAGGTTGCGGTTTAAACCCACATCAGGAGATACTCGACCCGAGGGCTTCGTTCAGCATTCACCGAAGCTGCTAGCAACCCAATAGGTAACACTTTATCCACTTCCCCTGCTCATACTTGTGAGGATCGGTGATTTCAGTGCATCCTTGTAGCAGACGTCTGGAACCTAGTATGTCAAAACATCGCTCAACTTCAAAACAAGGGAAGCCGTTCATTCCTCCTTATCTTCGACATCCGAGACCTGACGAGACAAAGATGACAGGCCCAGCAGCATGTCTCAGAAAACAGTTGAACCACGTCCCATGTGCGATCCTGTCGCCGACAACAAAAAGCGAGAAGCCATACGGCCGCGTATCTCTAGATCCCAACGTCCCGAACTCCCCACACCCTGAAGCATGAAGGAGTCTACAGCCCGGAAACAGGGCACTGACGATGCAGCGTCACGGAGGAAGAACAGGTGGGATTGTGGATGTCTGTTTCATGCGCGAGGAATCTCCGGTTCGATAAGCGGCTAGCTTCAGGAAGAGTTTAAGTTTGGGATCTCGGCATTGTGTGGCGGATTCAATCTTTGGGGCCTGAGACTGTGCACTTTGTGAGAAGACGGTGGAGGGTCGCACGATCTAGCATGCAGTCCCTTGTAGCGGCACTTGCGGATGACGCTGGTACTTCGAAACTTTTCGTGTTGAAACTTTGGAGGCAGGTGTTTTAAACCCGCGGTACTTGTTGTTGGCCAGGGCCTTTGGCTGATGTCACGAACTTTTAGGATCCGAGGTTGCACTTGAGCTTGAGATGGCCTTCATGATGCCCTCATGGCCATTCGCCCGAGCAGATTTTCTGACTTGGGCCTTGACCTTCTTCGGGCTTCGGGCACGCAATGTTGCCGGTTGCTGTGAGGCTGTTGCCGAGTTTTGGGTTCAGTGGCTTCGGCCCCCGTTCGTTGTCGGGTTGTGGGGGTCAAGACACCCCGAGTCCTGAGCCTTGGACTACAAAATTGGATTCTGCCCCGCTTTTGCTCCTCGTGCTGCAGGCTCCGGCTTAGCATCTCGCACAAGGGGCGCACGGGTGCATGGGGCGCCAACTCGGCAACCTGGGCAGCGATTTCTTCGGGGTTGCAGGCGGTGTCGGTGCAAGGAAGTACAACCCCCAAAGCAAGTCCGAGTGTGCTGAAACCCCCAAGGCCACCATGGGCTCCACGCCCACGGCCAGTGCTGCAAGTTGCCGGGTCCGAGAGTTTTCAGGGCTTCGGGTGCGAGGTTTGGGCATAGGGTGGCGTGTGTCGGGCTGGGGCATTGTACTTTATAGCTAGACGCAGGCTTTGCCTTCAGCTGCGGGGGTGTTTGTGGTGTTTACTGGTGACAGTGAACATGTACGGCTGTGAGCTGGAGAGCTTCGGCGCTTGAAGCTTCATGTGCTCCGGAGCCGATCAGAAACTGCGGTCGTCCCGCAAGAGGTGCCTGAGAGGGGGTTAGATTGGCCGGCCTGTCCATGACAACCCTGCCGAGAACCCTAAAAGCGAAGGGGTCTCCTGGCACGGCAAGAGTGGAGGGAGAACCAGGGAATTTAGCAACCATCAAACCTTGTAGAAAGTGTCGGAGAACAGAGACATGATAAAGGCGTTAGCCGTGTGTTCAATGGTGTTGAGGGTCGAGGTGAACGCTGCAAACATGCCCAAAGTCCAAAGGATGGAGTTTTCATACAACTGTTGCAGTAGCAACATGGTGCATGTGGTGGTCTCTCCTCTTGCCTCTAACCTTGATCGCCCTGCCCCAACCTCGTAATTCCTTTTGGCCATCTCAGGCTCATGGATTCGGACTCAGGCCATTCAGGATACTGAGCCGTTACGCTGGCTTCCTGGTGTGTTTTAAGGGAACATCGGGTTCCCGTCCGTGTCGGGCGACTGGAGTTTACGATAAACAGAATCATGTGCCCGACATTCGCGCTGCCTCGCATCGGGAAAGTTCTGGACCGCGAGATGCAACTGTAAACTCTCTACCTACCTTTATAATCCTGATTTTTTGTCCTCCTGCTCGTTTGTCTTACTCACAAACTCGCTTACTGGCCAAGCTCGCTTGATCGCTTACTGGGGACAAAGCTGGCCCGGTAGCGAAACAAATAGGCTGTTTCCATAGTCAACTCTGTGACAAGGAAGCGAACCCACGTTCGTGTAGCTGTTTGTTGAATGCGTTCAATGCGTCGTCCCAGAGTTTGCAGCCCATAGGGAAATTGGAAGACTCACGCTTGCAGTCCGGAATGCTTTGAATTTTCTCCAGGAGCCATTAGGGCCCCCGCTGGAGCAGCCCCACGGCGAGCTGCTGGCGTCCATCTCAGAGGCGAGAAGTCCGAGGGCCAACCCGGAACCCTCTTTGGCCAACAGGCTGAAGGCAAAGATGACGGGATCTTGGGTGCCTGGGTTTGGTGTGGTATTGAATTATTCTCGTTTGCAGGGTATTCAGGTTTCGGACTCTGAGGTTTGGGACGGTTGAGGCTTCCAAAACCTGCCTTGGAATTTGGCATTGCTTTCCTCCTCACAGGAAGTTAAGAATCGTCGGAGCATCGCCCCATTTGTCATCCCACGTATGATGTCATGTCCTGCAAAGGCTCCGGCCCAAGTGGCAGGAGCGCGCGGTCCGAACCACAAAAGCTTCAAAGCCCCCCCCAAAACGCACCAGACCTACCCCCACCCGACGCCCCTAAAGTTCACCCGAAACCACACCCAACTTGGAGCTCGTCTGCGCTAGGCAGAGGGACGCTACATGGGCAACGAGTCTGCAGACTTTTCTTAGGTGCAAGAACGGCTTAGCCGTTAAAGGCAATTTGAGGGTTTGGGGCTTCAGTGGTTCTAGGGTCAGGTTCGAATTTGGATGCAAGTCTTGGGAGTTCTTCAACCAGCGAAAATGCAAAAAGATGTGCTTCCGAGCGTGATTGGGCTAAGCTAGCTGATAGTAGGAGTTGGGGTTCAAAAGGCTGAGCTTCACACGGTAGGGCACAAGCAGGGGTTCGATGGGAGGCTGCGGGCTTTTTTTTCCGAAGGGCGAGTTCCCACAGGCGGCGAGAGAGCGCTTTCCAGCGACACTTTCTCAGGTCGTTTGGGTGGTGAAGGCAACAGTGATGATGACCAGATGCTCATCACAAAACCAAGTCTGTTCATCGTGTGCGACTACCGAAACTAAGATTGGCACCCATCTGCAGGCAAGAGCAGCACGGACATGGACCTTCCCCGAATGAAGGTCGCCCGCGCTGCGAAGACGAAGTTTAGGGTGCGTAGGTGACGGTTTTGAGGCTGAGCCGATGAGGTCCTGAGATTCTACGCAGGTTCTCATGTCTCCGTTAAGCTTCAAACCCCCAGTGCTGTTGTTCGGTAAACTGGTGCTTTCGGATTACCTCTAGTTCAGGAGCAACAGCTGATAGTTTGCAGTAACTTCCCCGCAGCCACAGGGCTTCCAGGAGCTCTGATGCTGCTGCTGCTGCTGCAGAAAGTAGGACAAACTGGTCAAAGCGAATTGCTGGAAGGGCTTGTTCGTATTTGATGTGGTAACTTCACGCGGCCATCCTCAGCCAAACCTAGAGACCCAAGACCCCATTCTGCACCCATGTGGAAGCTCGCACATCCTCACATTCCAAGTTCACCTGAAAGCCCCGAGCTAGGCGGTTTAGGGCTTTGAGTGTGTGAAGGTGTTCTTCAATCGATTTGCCCTCGATGGCGAAGTCGGAAAGGAGGGCACCGGTGTGTTTTTTGGGGTGATTTTGGGAGCCTTGGTTTGAGAGTTCTTGGCTTCAAGTGCAGGCCTCGAGTTTGGGTGAAACCCGTCCTTCAAGGGCCTTCAATCCTCCACTCGGGAATATTCTCTGCAGAGCGAGAGAGATTGAGAAACACAGGAGAGATAAAGGATGATAAAGGTATATAGATGGCTGAGGGCAGAAGGCGCACAATTGCGCGAGCCCAAAGAAAAGAGAGACAGAGAGAGACGGTGCACGCCAAGCGGAGGACTCAAAAGCCTACCTAGCTGTGACTCGGATTGCACCCTCAAAACTTAACCCTTGCGATGCTGTCACGACTTGCCATGTGACATCGAACGGGGGCATGCAAAAGCGGAGGGACTACGTAAGGTCTAGACCCGAGGGCAAGGCCAAAGTACTCGTTTCCACGTGGTGGTCTCCGGTGATATGCCAACTGCTGCAGCACTTCCCGTTACCCGGGTCCCTGCCATACTAAGCAAGCAAAGAAGCAAACAAGTAAACAAACAAACAAGCAAGCAAGTAAGCAACACACAACGCTAATCCTGCACCCCAGACCCACATCCCCGAAAACCAGAACCAAAATGACAGTTTGTGTGCCTATCAAGGCTCCTTTTGGAGCAAGTCATTCCCAATGCAGTGGAAAAAATGTAACCCTTCCTGGCACCTCGTACAGCATGGCGGAGAAAATGCAAACGAATCGCAAACCCAACACCACCGAAATGGCGTTGACCTTCCTGCCAGGATAGCCTGCTGATGATCTTCCTTTATCTGGGCTTCCTCACTGTGGATGAATCCAAGGTGCTCGCTCGTCGAACATGGGGGGTTTTACGGCCTCGGTTTTAGGGCAAGGCCTGCTGCAAAAAAGGGCAGGAGGGGAAGATTTAGGTTAAAGGCTTTTTAACATTTGGGGTTCGCGCTTGAGGGTTGCAAATTCAGGGTTTATGTTTACGGATTGTGGTTTAAGAAGTAGTGTTTTGAGGTCAGGATATTTCCATTACGATGTAAGTAAACTTTAGTTCAGGTAACGGGATTGCACGATTGAGGGTTGAGGGTTTAAGCTTTGTGTTTTGCTGTTGGCGGTTTGGGTTGAAGATGGGGTTCAGAGTCAGGGTTGTTGGCGTTGAGGGTGCGATGTAGGGGTTGTTGGCCTTGAAGCCTTATTTACGAAGTAAGAGCGGCAGCAGTGGCAGAGAAGCTCTGCTCAAATGCAGAGGGTCCCCATTGATGTTTGATGGTGCTCTTGCTCTTCGTGCTTTGACAATTGTCGCCGCTGCAACCCGCAATTCTGTTGCGATCAGTAGACTTCAGGCAAGCTCCAAAATTCAGTTGCACCCTATGCCAAAATCCCTCCGCCTTCCGTCAGTTCAGACCGAAGCACAAAGCACCAACTCTGTGCCAGCACGTGTTTCAGAATAGGGTTCACGTAGGGCTGCGGGTGTCGCATCAGGCCGCGGAAGAAGGAAGGGTTGGGAGGTCCCTATCCAAGGGTTGAGGATTCCCGGCGGGCAAACTCAGCGGCGCTTCAGTCCTACTGGGGTTGTGGGCGCGAGGCTTAACGTTGAGGGTTTAAGGTGCAGGAGTACATCTTGAAGGCTCAAAGCCCACATGAGTCCTTCAGACTCTCCTTGTCTTGTACCAAAGTCACCAGGAGGATTAGCAGCCAGGCGCTTCGCCCGAAGTGTCGTTCCGAAGTGTCTTACGGCCACTGCACCCAGCCCTTTGCTTCTTAAATCCATGAAGCAGCCGAGAGCACAAAATCCTGAAGCTTGAACCAAGTACTGAGTCCGGCACATCCTTCAACAGAGCCTTGGGTTTTGCCACAGGCATAGTTGGGGTCCGAAAAGAGGCAGGCTTGAGCAGAAGCCTCAACAGGCGTGCCTGGTCCTCTACGGTTCAGCCTTAATGTATAGAAGATGGGGAAGGGTCGCTCATGCAAGGGGCCCCTTAAGGATCCCAGATCGGGTATGATTTTGGGTTTGAGTTTCAAGGTAAAGTCCGTAGACTGGCTAGACTTGAGTCTTGAGTCCAGTAGCAAGAGAAAGGTAAAGTCCTAAACACTTTGAGCTCCTTACTTTACCGTCAGGTCAGAGAAGCGGCCGACGATGTCAGTGGCTACCCGTCGCTGGACTTCCACGTGCCTTGAGCTTTACGGCTTAGGAATGGCGTTGTGTGAGGCTCCTCGAATTTTTCACCGTTGTCGGAAGGGACGTTGTTTTTGCCATTGGCCTCCCTTTTCATTGGCCGAGCTTTCTTGCTGTTCATGTTCTCGTTTGCCGTTCGGGCTCTTTGCCACCTCGGGCCCCTAACCTGCTTCATCGATGCTGTAGTCATTCGAGAGTTCCTTCGTAACAAGAATCGCGCTTTGCAGACATTCGTGTTCGCTCGCTTGCGCTTTGTATTCTCCCGTGCTAGGCTTGTGAAGCGAAAAATGCTTCAAAGCTGGGAAGCACACCGAACTGTCGTCCAGCATGCGCCCGAGTTGTGCCGGTCCGTCTCATTCCTTGAAACTTTGATGTTCTTATGTCTCGAGCGTGAAGTGATGGCCGATGGCAGTTTGGTTTCAGAAACCGTGATGTTTCAAGTCGCAAAGCGCCGACTTCACCACCCCGCAGGCCTGAAGCTCCACATCATAAGCCCCAGACTGAAGCTTGGACCCGTCAACTTTGTTGAGACATTCGAGCAGTAAAAACCGTAAGATCAGAGACACGCTCAGAAGTCTTGCACCCCGAAGCCCTGAACGTGCCCGAGAATAGTTGAGAACTGCCGCTGCGTGTGATTTCTCTTCCGTTCTGAATCCGATCCGGCCCAAATGTACAGGTGCGCCACAGTCGCAAGTTTGGGCCCCCATACTAAGCCCACAACCTCGAGCGGCCCGGAGGCAGCGTGAGCGCCAAAATCCAAAGATGTCCAAAACAACCTTCAGTTCTCAACCCGAAACTCCAAAAACATGACTTGTCCGAGTGTGAGCGACGAAACCCCTGAAAGCTAAACTCCTCAAGCCTTAAGGCCGCCGGATCGCATCTCAGGATTTCTGCTCCGTCGTCGATCACGTAGTCACCGTCGAGCGAGAAGCGCTGCAGCGAAAGATCGAGGTCGACACCTTGCCGTGGTGTCGTGGGAGTACGTCAAATCCAGCTAATTAATAGGATGCACCTTCAAGAGACCCCTGGACGCTGAATACCACTGTACGCTGTTCTCGGGCTTCAACGTTGTTAATCTTAGAGTTAAGGTATCTCCTCGTACCAGCGGGATCACGCATCGCGGCTTTTTCGTATTTGTTGGGTCTCTGAACTCACCATGCGCCCTGAAGGTCTGGCTCATCAGAAGCACTGCGTTGCGCACGGACGATGTGGCAGAGAAGACTCTCAGAGAGACGGTGAGTTCTAGTTTGTCCTGCTGGCGTCGGTTCCCACAAGAGCCCGCAGAAGGCGATCGAAGGTTCAAGGAGCTCTGCATTTGTGCGATACGGAGGCAGTAGCTGCTAGACTCTGCTAGACCTTCCGTATTCAACGACAGATGGATTTGTAGTCTATGAGGACGACGGAGAAACAGCAAGAAGTTGGGACTGTCCTTCATTCATTGAAGCCCCGAAGCTGAGAACCTCAGGCGCCATGCCTCAAGGCCTCAATCCCGGAGTTTCGGATCGGGACTCCGGGTTTGAGCAATTCGTAGTTGACAGTACCACTCCCCCGATTTCACCTGAGGATGAGACTCTTCTTGAAGTCCCTCGGCGTGATCTGCACGAAGGAGACAGTGCGACAGCTGCGCACCCCAAGCGCCAGTAGGAAGTCTCGTCCTAGTCATGTGGGCGAACACAAACCCGGAAACCCTCAAGACCTGAGCCCTGCATGGTACTATGGGAACCCTCAACTCTGACCCTTTCGGAGAAGTGTCCTACCGTGTACCCATCATTCTGAGCCCCAGAGCTCCGAAAAGCCATTGGGTCTGGGCTACAGGGCGGGGTTTCAAGTTTGGGTTTCCGCAGGAGCTGGTAGTGGAGATGATGAGCCTGGGCGGCCTCGCCAACCGCCGCTGCGACACACAGGAGGTTCCCTTGCACGGCCTACATCACCAAAGACCCAGTTTGAACACGGGAAGCATTGAAGCTGCGGGCACAAGCTCCAGAGGCGTCAGTGCCCTCGGTGGGTGCTAGGGTGCTGGGCGGGGCTTTGTCACAGTCGCAGGCAGGAAACCGAGGGCCCCCGCACCAAGACCACCAACAAGAAGGTCAGCGTCAACGAAGTTGATATACCTTTCTTTGCGTATCGCGAGCGGTTTTCCAAGTACCGTTTGTTGTTTTGGTATCTTTCCAAAATCGTGCAACAACTTGTTTTCTTTTGCTCGTGAAACGATCTTTTGGTATATGAATCACGACTTTCCGCATTGATTTTGCATGTGCCTTTTTCCGTAGTTGCGACTGTTCTCAGTGATTCGGTCTGCATGAGAACATACGTGGCCCGCCTGCAGCATGCTTCTCAAGCTTGCGGGCCTTCGCAAATTTCTTCTTTCCCACCCTCCACGCCCTACTTTGGCACTGGGGGGATATTCGGTGGAACACTTCGTCGTGTGCATTCGTGCCCTTTTGGGCTGCACACGTGCACACGTGTTCCGCTATTCACTCAAACTCGAGACCGATGCATGCCCCGACCTTTGAAAACAAGTGAGCCGATTCGCATTGCTTCTGTCACATGTTCCTTTATGGGCTTCGCCCTTAACGCCCTCCTTCGTGAGCCCCGGTTTATTTGTTTGGCAAACCCCTAAACAAAGAATGCCCTTCGATCGAAATCAGGAGCTTTGGCGGCTTCTTGCCGCCTATCGCGCCTGCGAGGGCTTCACCCAGGAGGCTTGCTTCCTCGGAACGGCTTTAGGGTTCGAGGTGTCGGCATTCAGGGTTTCAAGCTTCGAGGAGGTTCAAGGGCTTTTGCCTTCGATGCCTTTCTTGAGAAGATGTGACAATGATCCTATCCCGTCTAATTTTTACGGCTCAACACTCTAAACCTTTGTTTGCCGAACTATGTGCCTTGTAAACATCGCCGGGCTCGGGAGGACGATAGCTGCAAACAGCACGGCATAGCGCAGCTGTCAGAGCAGCGGTTGGGTTGGGGCATGTTGGGGCTTGGGCTCCTCGAGGTCCCAAATCCATGGTTTCGGAACTATGTGGCGTGAAGTTTGGGTGTGGGGTGTTGATGTCTCAGGATGGAAGAATCCAACTGCCGAGGGTCGAGGATTTCGGACAAAAGCGCCCAAACTTTTGACTTGCTTTGCCATCTGGCTGGCATGTCGCAGGAGATTGAGAAAGCGAACGAGGAATTCGACCGCCTGGCTTTGGTCGGCGGCGCCTCAACGCCTACAGCCCGGATGCGAGAGGGCAGGCGGGCGCAGCGCACAACCCTGAAGCCTTAAAGCCCGGCCTTAAGAAAGCCGCGCAGCCGGAGCGGCCAGAGCCTCCAAAACTGTAGGATTCGATGCATAGTGTTGGGTTTTGTCAGTTTCGGTTTGGGGCTCAAGGCTTATCTGGAGCTTCGGAAGCATTTTCGCCCCCTCGCTTGCTGGACTGTCGATGCGGCATCCAAAAGCCTAAACAAGAAGCGCTGAATTCCATGAACGCTCCACAGATTTCTGGTTTTTGTGTTTCGGGCAGACGGAAAAAGAGCTGACAACACTCTTCCTAGAGCCTCACTGGATCCTCTCAAGCCTTGGACCCAAAACCCGCGAACCCTCGAACCACCGACACAGAAACACCCAACGTCCCTCTCTAAACCTTCCTGCGGCCTGAACCACCCCAAAGCAAGCGAGACAAAGCCTTGGAGCCCTTCCGCCGTGGACTTTAGACCCTGAAAACACAGAGCCTATAGCCGTCAAGAACCTGGTTGACCGAAGACTTAAAGCCCAACACCTGAGAACCCTGAATTGCCTTAGACCCCATAAACCTTGGAACCCGAAACGTCACCACAGAACTTCAACCCCAAAGTACCGGAAACTTGCAGAAATCCCAAAAAAGCGCTTCCTGTCTTTAACATCCCAAGCTTAAGCGAATTTGAATCCTGAGGGCCCGAAACTGGCAGGTTTCTGCCTGGCCAGCATCTCTCCGAGGCGCTTCTTGCCCTGGAGACGGTCTACTGCCCTCTGGCTAAAAAGGAAGGGGAGAGAGGGAGAGAGAGATCTAGGGTGCGCTGCGCGATGATGGGGTCTTCGAGGGGTCTGACGGCTTTAGTGTTGCGGGTCTTAGGGTCTTCAGATTTTAGGGTTTAACATTGACAGCACAAAGCGAGAAGGGTAACGAAATTTGACGCAGTTTTCCAGCCTCCGTCGCGTTGTGATTTGTCGTTATTGTCCTATCTTGTAGTGCGTAATGCATTTGCTCATCACGTGTTGTTCCGTTATTGGCACGTATAGGTAAGAATTCAGGGCAGGAGGGCTAATTAGGTTTTCAGGTGAACGGCTGAATGCTTAAGGCCTTCAGGGTGCAAAACTTCGGCGTGTGAGGTTGAAGCTTGAAGTGCCTGGGTCCAGGGAAATGGGGGCTTCGGGTGGAAGAGTTCAGGGTTTGAAGCCTTGATGCCAAAACAGGGCTTGAGATGTGCGGCTCCTGGGTTCAGTATTCGAAGTAAGGGTGAGGCTCAAGAGCCTCAGAGCCGGCATCTTCCTAGACCCCAAGGCCCCAAGGTTCCCGTTCCGATTCCCAGTGCTAACGAAGCAATGGGCATCTGAGCGGTGTCAAGAGGAATTTCGATCGCAGCTCATGTTGGCTTTTGGCTTTTCCAGGACGACTTAGGACAGGCCAACGTCGCCGTGGCGAGTCCAGGGATCGGGGTGGTTGATGGGTTGTGAGGCGGGCCGGGGTGTGTACATTTTGTTGATGCGTGTGGAAGGTGCAGACCACCTGGGTACGATCATCGGCGAGATCACGGCGTCTTGGTGCTTGCGATGCCGGTGTAGATGACAGGTTTCAGCTTAGAGTGAGAGGCTGTAAGGTGTCGTGTTTGAGGGTTGCCAGTTTCCACCACTGAGAAGCAACCGCTTCGACTACACCCGTGTCTAGTCAAAGCCCCAAAACCAGCAGAAACTCAAAATCTAGCATTTTCAGCCCTAAGACCACTAAACCCTGCAGCTGAGGCGCTGTCGTCTGGCAAAGCCGGAGAAAACTGTGAAAACCCTTTCCCAGCTTTGTTATCTTCATACCGCCCCTCCAAGGCCCAAAGCTTGCAGCCACACTCCAAAATGGTAGCCTTTGAAGAATCCACGCAGCCTGGAAGCCCAAAGAAACCGTAAATGCTAGATTTCTGGATGCCATGACATCCTGCAAGCTTTCCCGTTCCAACCCGTCAGCGCCTCAGTCGAAGCCCGGAAGCCGGAACTGCAGCCTCTGACGCCTAGGAGTTCGCTCTGGACCAGAAGGGGCCTCTCCATTTCTTTGAGTTCCTGGCCACCGGGCGAAAAGCCCCCAAAACCGCCTGAGCCATTCTTTCAGAGCTTCAGGACCCGAGGACCCTCAGTTGGAACGGTAAAAACCCAAGACTGGTTCATTCAGGGCCTGAGGCCTTGCTCGTTCCTTGGTTTGGCCGCTTGCCGATCAGATGGACAGTGTTCCAGGTTTGCAGGGTTTCAGGTTCCGTTTTGGTCTATGGCTCTTGCAAGACCGCTGCAAACAGTTGGCAGATGAGCCTACGCCCTACGCAACCTGTTTGCACTCCCATGCAACACATTTCAAACAGCGGCTGTCTGATGAGAAGATGGCCTCTGTGTGCAGGCAGGTGGATGCGTGCTTCGCTGTTGTATCTCAGTTTTTGTGCGACTTCCTGGTGATGGCGGTGGGATTGGGCCTTGCGTCGTAGACCGCTCACGCCGGTACAGTAAATGCAAACCTTCAGCCAGTACACTAGACCTGTCGCTTTTATTGTGAATCCTGAGCCCCTTGATCACAACAGTCTGACATGTTGAATGCTCGAACCCGTGTGCATCCAATTTCCACCATAGTAGTTGCCGTGACAAAACTGCACTGTTGCCCAGAACGCCTCACGTCAGGAAAATGCTTAAACAACATCAGGCGCGCTCCTTCTTGATGTTTGTAGCCTCTGCTTCTCCTCCGCCTCCTCTTCCTACGGCCACTGGAACAACAACCACCACTATACCCCTGCTGCTGCCATTGCTATCACTGCTACCACTACAACCACTGCCGCTATTACACTGCCGCTTGAGTGGTTTTCGGCTTCAGCACTGTTTTTGGCTTATCCCTGAGCCCGCGACCCCGTTTCGTCCTGCATCCTACACAGGTTATAACGCGGCGACTTCGTCGGATCGTGCTGCCCGTCCGAAGGGCCTTGGGGCTTACGGTTTTACCAGGGCTGAAGTATTTGGCAAAGAGGGGTTCCGGGCTTTAGGGTTTAGGAGTTCAGGGCTTGTGTTATGAAGGGGCCCGCGATAGTGAAAGCATCCTGGTGTGCGCGCTGAAATGTTGTATGTCACCACACCTGCTAGAGCTCCATCCTAGTCTCGAGCTTTGCTGCTTCAGGTTTGTTTGGCTAGTTGACCGCACTAGGGTTTCCTGGTTTCGGCACGCAGAAATATTCGCGCCTACAAACGTGCGAAGCGAATTCTCATGTTGTGCATGGAAATGTGAAATGTTGCGGTTCCCTTTTGAAGTTGGAGAAAAGTCGGCGGAATTGTCTGGGACTGAGCTGCAAGGCTCGCAAGGCTTTGGCAAAGGCCAAGCCTACGGCTCAAGGATACCGGATACCCCAAGAAGTTCCAGAAGCCCATAAGGATGAACTGTGCCTGTTCCGGTGTTGCTTACACAGGCCTTGGGATTTGAGGATGTGGGTCTTGGGTTGAGGATTTGCAGTATCTCAATCAATTTCCGAGACCGCTTGGCTACCGCACCTAAGCCCGCATTTATTCCCGGCCACTTTTGGAGCAAGCTCCGAGTTTGTGCACTGTTCCAAGACGTCTTGCGGCTTCCCAGGATGCGGCTCCTCGCAGACAGCTTCGACAAGGCAGGGGTCCAGTTTCCAAGCGTGGTTTGTAGGGGAGCGGGGGAGATCGGGAGGTTAGACACTGACATCGGGCTGAGAAACTGGGATAGGCTTGCACTTCAGGAGTCAACTCTGCCCGGAGCCAAAGTGTATATCCAACTTCAGAACCCAAAGCGTCACGTAAACCCTCAGCCCGCAAAAGCCCACCCTAATCTTAATCCGGAAAGGTTCACTCCCGAACAGACCTTCAATTGAAAGCTCAGCCTGCAGCCATAGCGGTGTGATTACTTAGAATCTTTGACCCGTGACTCCTGAACCAGCACCAAAGCCAAGGTGCCCAACATGGGAAGAAAAACAAAGCTTGGATTGCCGAACGACTTTCCTGGAACCTGCCCAAGCATGTATCAGGTTGATGCGAACCAGGATAGCGAAATCACTGTGGTGGAGGCGAGGCGACAGCGAGCCTGGCCGAACCAGCATTGCTTGAAGCTGCACGTGCAGGGCTTCGGGGTTCAAGGTCTGGTTCTATGGTCTTGAATCTCAGGAGGGTCACAGGTGTGTCCTGGGACGTCGGGTTGAAGCTGCTGTGGCGTTCAGGCATGCCGGCATTTACGCAACTCTTATAGCAATCTTTCGACGCATCCTACTTGAAGTCCTCAACCCCCTTCGCCCTCTCACCCTTCCGGAAACACTCCGTTCCAGATGAAGGGACCCGGAACTTTTACACATTCTGCAAACGTTGGTAGCACCCACCCGCACCCGCTTCAGGGGCCTGCATGATACACACCGAAACCCGAACTTTCAAATCCGAAAGATTGCGAAAATCACATGCTCGCCGCGCTTACCTCGGATTAGATCGGAAGGGCTGGACAGCCGCTTCGGCAGATTCATTGCACTAATGGGAGCTTCAGTGATGAGTAGGAGGCCCTAGCGACGAAGCTCCAAGTCCTCAATCAAGTCTATTTTCAGAGGGCTTAGGCCTCCAGAAGCCTGTCACCCCTTGCTGGCTTTCAGACCCTTAGGTTCAGCCATTTGTGTCCGTTAAAGCACAGGTTCCCAGCTGTCAGGCCTCGGGGCCTTTGGGTACCGCAGTGTGCACCACCCGACTGCCGCAAGAACCGATGCCCTACCGTAAGCCCCTCAAGCCGACCTCACCGAAAGTTCGGAAGCCCGAAGCCCGAAGCCCAAAAGAGAGTTTCAGAAATACGGAACCCCTCATATGTATCCTCGATGCAAAGGACCTCCGGGCCCTAAATCTTCCAGATTGCAAACGGAAACCTTCCGAGTCGCTGAGAGAGCCGCTCGCACCTTGTAGCAAGGATCCGGTAATTTGCGCTTTGCCTAGGATTCTTCAAAAGTCCTTCAAACACTTTCTCCCCTGTGCTTTCCTGAGGTTCTCTCCCAGCGTCCCACTCCGAAGCCTACATGTTACTCTTAAGGGATTTCTGGACTGGTTGTCAGGCAACGGAGGTGTTGCGGCACGTGGGTTTCACCCTGCTCAAATCGGATGCTCGCTGGCCTTAGCACTCCGGCGGTTTGCGTTTCAGACTTGAGCAGATTTTAGTGGTGATGTTGTGAATGACCATGATGACCGTGGGGATGACTTTCATGATTCTATTTTTGATGATGTTGGGGGTCGAGCTCGGGCTGATGTGTAGTCAGTGATTCTGGCATGCTTTGCTTCACGATGTTGCACCTCGCCATATAGCCCGAGGATTACCCAACAAGCCGTCATGCCCAGAACACGAAACATTTTAAACCGGCGCCTAAGCTGCCTAAAGCCAGCAAGTCGTACACCTTCAACCGTAAACCCAACGAGCATGTGGGTGGTTGTCAAAATTAGGGTCCCTTTTTGGGTCCCGATCATAATACGGCACCTATTAATTAAGGTACCCCAAAAGGGACCCTAATTTTGACAACCACCTATATGGAACCTCGCCTGGCTTGTCCGAGTTGTGAGAGCGTAAACCCAAACCAGCGTGCGAAGCAACCATCATGCAACCCGAAGGAGCAGAATGAGCTCCTGGAGCTCATCGGTGCCGAGAACGAGGATGGAGTAGGGTTGAAACGCTACAGTTGTAGGGATCTGAAAATCTAGGGACGGGTTCCTCTACGGTTTGTGGTTCAGATTTTAAACAGGGCCTTGAGCTTCGCGTGTGGGATTTAGGGTTTGCGGTTGAGGAATTACAACGTAGGGTTTGCGGCTTCATACGCTATTGAGGCGAAGATTCGGGCTTAACTACCTAGCCGCTAAATTCTGGCTTAGGGGGCAGGTGTGTTTGCTGAGAACACTCTAGAGCACTCAAACCTGCGCGGCAGGCGCTTCCCTTAACCTCAAATCAGACACCGAAGCCCTAGCGCCTGTCAACGAAGCTGTATGTAAGAAGCCGGAATCTCAGCCCTAAGCCCTACCCAACCCCCAACAGCCCTAAGCCGTACACCTTGCCTAAAACAAAAAATGACACCCGACGTAAAGACCTCGCAAAGGAGCGGCTCCACTTCGACCTCGTCCACTCCCTGGTCATGGAAGCACGTGCGCAGCGCCCCGGCCTGGAAAAGTAAACAAGGTCTGCTATAGGGATCGACAAAACGGCTGAGGGCGTTGTTGAGGCGTTTTCAGGGGAATAAGCCTCAGGCCTTGGGGTTGAACGCTGATTGTTCCGGCACACTTTCTTGTACCTTCCTCCCGAGGCTTTCAGTCACGTGCGTCGAGCGAGTGTGCGAATCGAAACTGTAAAAACGTGAACCGGGAACTTGCCACCCTGGTTCTGGAGCTCTCTGGCCCCTTTTGAAGCATTATGAAGCATTCAAACCTCGGCCTAGGCACGGCTTTACAAAGGAGGAGTACGACGCCAGCTGGCCGATCAGCCCGTGGATTTTTCGTTGGGTATCTCGGGGATAGGGGTTCAAAGTTCGCGGCCTGGGCGAGAGGGTAGATGATTTTGAGCGGTGTCGAAGATGAGCTCAGTGACTCGTGAGTGGGTGCAGTCCTAAACGCCGGGTTTCAGCGGAATGCAGAAACCCTGCCGGGCAAGACCCTATTCATCAATCGAGCAACCTGTAACTTCCCAAGCAGATTGAAGCTTTTTATGTCGACGATGCCTTTCAATTTTGTCAGGGGTTGGACCTAGGATCTCGGGGCTTTCGGGTTTCTCGGGGTGGCTTCGGCTTGTGTCATGCAGGAGCTGGCCGCGCACTTCGACGCATACTGCGATGCAGACGGTGAGATGCCGAACCTGCAAATGTGCCCTTGGGAAAGGGCTCCTTTCCGTAACCCCAGACCGTCGGTCCTACTGTAACCCCAAGCCAAGACCGTCAGCATTTCCCAAGCAACATGCGTTTACCACCGCAAGCCCTTGAAGCTGCGACGCGCCAAAGAAGGTAATTGTTGTCAGGCTCATCTTGCCGCTTTCACTTTTCTGTTCAGCGTAAGGGGTTCTTGCTGTCTGCGACCGTGATGGCGAAACTGCTACAGGGAGCTGGATCCCGGCCCCCCCTTAACGGCAAACAGCAGCAGCAAATCGATACTACCATCTGGCAGTTTTACAGAAACATACTGTGCCTGCTTGTGTCACCAGGCTGAGAGAATGATGCCATCCATGGCTTAGAATTCTCGACCCAAGCCTGCTTATACGACCAGGTACGAGCTTCTGCGCTACATCGGCCATGAAAACAGCCTCGATGAGGCCTCAGTGCTGTGAGCTTTCAGGTGAGAGCAGCCAGGAGGCACAGGGAACAGAACGCAGACGTACCGATCAGCCTTCGGGGTTGGCGCGGTGTCCTTGGTTGATTCAGGCGTGTGGTGTCGTGAATGTGAACTTTCCTGTTCCAGTGTTGCAGCCGTCATTTACAGGGCATATGTAGTTAGAGATTGAAGAGCCGGGCCGGGAGGTCAAAGATCTGCTTGACCAAGTCGACTACAACCACAACGGCACCATGGATCGTCCGAAACTCGTGGGAGGGGGAGGGCTTAGTCAGGTTAGCGGTCGTCCCCTTTCTGAAACTTCCAGCTCGCAGGGGCTGTGATTCAAATGTTGTGTATAGCTCAAAACCTCCGAGCACTGAGCAGAATGGTTAGCAGAACAGGGGAAGCATTTTCCCAGGGGCCTTCTCGCGACTGCTGTCTTTTGAACTGCAGTCGACCCCCTTTGTTCCTGCAAGTTCGCCCACGCAGTTTTGCAGCATCTCAATACTGCTTTTGCAACAGCACGAGGGCGTTGCAGTTTCTGGTGGGGCTTGGAGAGCGCAGCATATCGTGTCCCCCAAGAGCCACCAGTGGTAGCCCCTCACCCGAAGCCAACAAGCAAAGCCTAGCTTGAAAGCCTACATACCAATTTACTCCTGGCGTGTCGTTGTATTGAACTGACGAGCTGGAGAGCGAAGCTCTCGCTTCAGGGTGTAGGCTTCCCTTCAGGCTCTTGCAGTGGGCCGCTTTTCAATTTCGTCCATGTGCGCAATTCACGTCTCAGTCGGATCATCGCAGCTTTTGGACCTTGGCCGCCAGCCCAAGCAATGCATTTTGTCTGCCAAAAGCTTAAAACACTGATGATTGCTTCCAACTAAGCGCACCCACTCAGAATTATCATGCCAGCATTTGGTAGCAAGGAAAGCCGAAATGGTAGCAACTTCAGCATCATCATTAAACCTGTGTCTAGAAACGGGTTTCAGAATCCAGCGAGCACAAGCTTAAAGCGTTCGAAGCTTCAACAACGGCTACTTTGGCCTGGTGGAATTCCATCAACAGGCTGTGCGAATTGCACTGCAATTGTGAAGCCAGCCCGTCTCAGGAAGCTTAGACGCCGAGACCCAAAGACAAACGACGAGGTCGTACCGTCTCCAGATTGCGATGCACTGCGTGGAGCAAGCACGCATGCACAACCTGCGGCGCATCCTGACTACGAAGACCACAGTCCAATGTCGCCAAACCGCGTAGCATATCAGGAGGGCAATTTGAAACCCCGAGTCCCGCTACGAGCTGAGGTCGAGAGTACTTCCGGCTGATGCGCCTCCAAAAGGAGCCGGGTCGGGTAGAATTGTGTGACATCTCATGTCGGGCATGCGGCACAACAATCTGATGATGGGCCCCAAGCCTGCCAGGTTAAAGCTCAGGAAGCTTCCAGTTGCAACGCACAAGATCTACAGCTCCTAAGGCCAAAAAGCCTTCGAGCATGCTTCACCTGGAACACAGCTGGAAACCACCACATCGTACCTGAAGCCCTCGTGCCCTGAATGCCGTCACGGTGACGACATGCTTCCGAAGCCCTGAAGCAGCTGGGGCCTTGTGTGCGCCAGTATGCTCTCGGCATTTTTCCGAAATTTGATGACTCTTAATCCTGTGACAGGAGCAGAACTTGGCCGGCTACCGAAACGCCTGGTGCTCTAGTCGCCCCAGCGTGCTTTGCGAAGCTCGGGTTTTGCCCGAAGTTGCAGGAATGGCCTGGAATGCTCTTCGAGATTAGCCCTCGACAGGGCTTAGAGTTTTCGCAGACCCTAAACCCTTGAACATCGGTCCACGGGAATGGCCAGGCAAAATGCGCTGTGGACGAAAGGCACTTGGGAGGGCTGCAAGCCCAAAGCCGCGAGCCGAAACACGCTCAGGATGTAGAGCAAACCATGCGCTTAAGCGCGTAGCCATTTTGACTCCAGCAGTCTTGTCATCCTACACTTCAGGTTGAGGTCGGGGCTTTTCTTCCCCGCTACGCAATGTGCTAGAGAGCAGGAACGACCCACAGTGCGAGAAGAGGTCCCTGTGAAGCTTCGGCTACTATGGAGTTTGCTTTGTCGATTTGTCTTTTGGTCGCGTCATGTTTGCCACCCAAGCTTTCCATGTGTCGGGGTCAGGGTGGTACAGACCTCTCGAGCCAATTGAATGCTGCAAAGGCTCTGGTCTACGTCCAGCGCAATAACCGCTTCCCGGATCTTGCGGGACAGAAAAGGGACGTAAAACCTGAAGCGCCGAAACCGTAAACTGAATGATTTCAAGCCATTCCCACTAGATCCGTCTCACTCAACAGACCTCGAACTACATGCCTCGCTTGGATTGTCCGAGTGTGAACGCCGAAACCTGAAACCCTGCCTAAACCCAAACCAGTAGACACAACTTCGCAGGCCTTTCAGGTGGTGGAGAAGGCTCTCCACTCTCGCTCCTAGGTTGCTTTGGGGGATTCTGTGGAGCCGAGGATACCTGCGAGTTATGCTGTCTGTTTGAGTTCGGGAATTCACGTTTTTAGTGTCTTGAGCTTGGAGGCCTGACTAGTACCAGTAGCAAGAAGGAATTACGGAGAAAGTTTCCGAACGGTCTCTTTTTTGTTTCTTGCGGGCACCTCAGAAGGCTTTGTTTGGTGACTTGGGGCCTGCGGCTCGGGTGTTTAGGCTTCACCCTAGGGATGCACAGGAGCAAAACAGGGACAGGAACGGCAGATACGGCCCACCCTTCGCTTTAGGGTGCAAGCTTTAGTGTCTACGGTGGCCCCCAAAACGGGATCCCAAGATTCAAACTACTGTTCCTTATGCTGCTCAGAAATACCAAGAACAGAGATGATTCCCGTGTTTGTAATTTGAACAACGAGCACAAGCCAACACGAAAAGATGATGGGACTGACTTGCACATGTGAGTAGCTATGGATAACCATTGGATCGATTTGATCATTCGTCGGGAATGGTAGTGAAGCAGCAGAGACGGCGCTCGCATGCTTGTGGCATTGTTGGTTAGACTAAACTCCAGCATGCACTGGATCATCCCTCGGGGATATTTACCAGATTGTTTGCACCCCCCCAAGTCTGATTGCCACGTCATGGGACCCGAGCTCGACTGCTTGCAGGCGCAAGCCCAACATCGGAGGATCTGAAAGATTCCCGAAACCTTCAACTTTAGCCCTTGCTTCAGTTCAAGGTCTGAACAAGCACCCCGAGATCCTAGGCAGATTGCTCGTCCGGTGGCCAAGTGTTCTTCCTTACAGGGATCCGAGATTGACGGAAGGTTTGAGCTTCGAGTGTGGGGCTTTCACGTTTGCTGCGGAATCGCGAAAGTTTCGGCACTGCTGAACAGGATAGCACCCCACCCTGAAGAACGTCACGTGTCATCGAATGTCATATTCAACATGGACAACTTCTGAAGCGGCGCGGGGCAGGTGGGTGTAGTCTGGCAAACCGCAGAATGGCGAGAGAGAGCGAGAGAGAGAGAGAGAGAGGAATCCAGTTGCCGAGGGAAGCTGTGCAACTTCCACCTTTCGTGCCGATATCACCTTTTGCAACACAGGCGTCCCGCAACAGTCGGGGGCGCGAACGCGCGCGGTGTAGGGGGTAAAGCCCCTACACCACAACCCTGGCGAAAAAAAAAAAAGAGAGAGAGAGAGAGAGCGTGCGGAGGGGTAATCCGGCTGCTCCTCTTGCCTGTGTGGGCGAAAAGAGACAAAGAGAGAGACTCTGGCTGACCTCAGGGAGAACCAGTCAGAGAGGGCATTGAAGAATTCTCTAAGCTGACTTAGCCGGGCAAGCGCGAGGTACGCCCTGGCCCTGAAGCCCCATTGTCACGGCGAGCGCCAAATGTCCCGAAACTAGGGAACGCCCCAGCCACGGACGCAAGCATGAACCTTAACCGCTTTGCACCTCAGCCCTGAACCGAGGCAGAAGCACAAGCGGAGGAGATCAACGCCGCTGCAGGCGACTTCGACGCCTTCGCGACACTGGCGGACGGGGATTTGGTTCTGGCGCTGCGATGTCTTCATCTGAAACGAAGGGCTTTGGGATCAACCTTAGTGGTTCTCTGGCTTGTTCTTAGTCTTATGCTACAGGCCAGCTGGATATCTCACCCCCGATTGGGTCTGTGGCTGGTTCCTCAAACCCTAGTTCAACCATGTTCAACCCCAACCACTCGGCTTTTAAAAGAGCCCTTCAACCCTAACATCATATCGCCGTTGTTGTGAGGAGAACCTGCGTAAGCAGATCCCACTCGAGAGCCGGAAGTATGCAAGCTTCAAGGCCTGGTGTGTGGGTCTCACGTAGGACTCTAAGATTCGGTTCTGAACTCCATGGCCCAAACCCTGCGGCGGACTTCTTCTCTGTTTTTAGAGTTCGCTCCTTAATTTCAGGGTTCAGGGCGTGAGGGTTCAGCGTGGTTTAGTTTTTAAGTTTATTGGGATAGTAGGGGGTGAAAGTTTTGAACTTTCAAACCCTCAAGTATCGACCAAATTCGGACTTAAATGCTTGGCAGCCTCCCTACGGCCCGTTCAGATCAGGAAGTAGAGTACTTGATGCTGAAGAAGATCTTCGAAAGGCAAAGCGATCTACAGGACCGCGGCGTGTGACCCTGGCCTCCCGTTTTTGCTTTTTACGTGTGCAACAAAACAGAGCCTTCCGGTGCGGCTCGCCTCGGGCCCCAAGTCAGGATGGAGGGGGGTTTCTTCTGAACTCGGGCTCAGATGCTACGAGGAGATTGCAACAAAGCAGGACTCGCTTACCAGGCAGGGGCTCGGGAACAAGGTCAGAATGGTTTCCATTCGCTGCATGCTTGGTGTGGTAGTTCTCATTTGCAACATCCTCCCATACAAAGGCAGCAGCTGCTTGGGCTCTTGACGGCATTCACCCGTACCTACTAGCGTCGAGCCGAGTTCCCACATGGGAGTTTGTGAAAATTAGGGGTACCTTATTTAGGGTACTACATCAGGGTCCCCTATGTTCGGAAACTCTCAAATTTTGTTCCGAGAGATCCCGTAAGCCCAGTCGCCAAGCGTATCCTGAAAGAGATAGACTTGGGAGGACGGATCCATCATCCTCCGTGAGTTCTTGTGGCTCGCAGAAGGTGAAGCTCAGGAAGTTTCCTTTGCAATGCAGGGCAGCCTTCAATTCCCACAGAATGTGCGAGTAGCACTAGGATTCTTGCGCAAACCGTTGTAAGTGATTTTGATTTCTTAGGGGTATTGTAGCTATGTCCCACATTGTTTGAAGACTCCCAAGATGTGGATTACACGGTCATCCTCTGTCTACAACGGCAGGATCAAGGCTTTGGGGTTGTGTTTCCACAGGCGGTCTTGTACGGATTTCAGGGAGAGGTTGGTTGTCCCTCAGCCATAAACCCCTGAAGCCTCATCGAAGGTGCCAGCCCTGCGGTAGTCCATCTTAGCCTGCAGATCCATGTCTTATGGTGAGCAAGCAATGCAGCAAGGTACATGATGGAGGACGTGCAGGACGTTCACACCAAAGGCTTTCTGGTGCAAGGGTTCTTCTTTAGGATTTCGGGGTTCTGCTTTTGACAAGCATCCCCACACCCTCTCAAGTTCCACATGTGTGCGACCCGTCCCTTACAGATATAGAGCATGCGAAAACTCCACGGACGCCGAAGCGTGGGTTCTGCCAGCGTAGATCCCCCACGCGACCACGACGACCAAGAGACCGAAAGGAGACCACGACCCCGAGACCAGTGATAAGCAGGAGACGCCAAGAGGCCACCCAGAGATCAGCAGAACACCACGCAAAATTACTTCCTTCCTTTGTACTGCCACTGCCACAATGCTTCCCACCACGCACGGCGCGATCTAGAGACACGTCAGCGGAGCCTTCCGTGTATGCCTCGGGCGCTACTTCCTCATGTACCGGCGGGGCGGCATTCGTTAACACACCGTTTGGAGGCAAAAGGACATCTTCTGAATTACTCCTGCCCGACGTTTAGGGGTTGGTTTACAGTGAAGACAGTTCAATCCTCCGTTTTTTTGGCAAACCTCTTCAATGCGGTGCGAAGACCAATGCCGCACCTCGGGGGAAATATCATCGCGCCTCAGATCAATATAGCAGGCTCACGAGTTTCCCTTCGAGTTGTTTCGGGGGCACCTTCACATCGCCTTACCTCTTTCACTCATGTCACGGTTCACGAGCCTGAAGCTTCCTGCCAGTGACAACTCCTTTTAAGAAAGGACAGCACCCATGTCCCAACTCACGAAGAGCTTTTACCCTGGAACCGACATAGAGAAGAGACTTGGCAGCCCGTTGTCAGTTGGCCGAAGAGCTTAAGATGCGGAGTAGGTGGTTGCAGGTCAACTCGGTCACTCAAGGCTTGAGAACGCATTTTGCGCTCCCCTGAAGGCGGGCGTATGTGGCTTCTCGAGTCTCTCAACAATGCCCGTCAAGCTGCCAGAGAGGCTGGTGTCAGCGAAGCTGCCGCTGGCCTTGCAAGTCTAGATATAGGTGCAGCTCGTGGCAAGGAGGGGCGATCAGAGCGTGGCCGGAGCAATGACGACCAGGGTTTTTAGTAGTAGGAGTAGTGGTGTAGTAGTGTAGCAGTCCAGTAGTGCAATACTATAACAGAGACGCTACGTGGTGCCGTGGCGATAGTAGCAGTAGCTCAGTATTGGTAGTAGTAGTCGTCGTCGTAGTCGTAGTGGTAGTGGTAGTAGTGGTGGTAGTGGTAGTGGTAGTGGTAGTGGCGGCAGTGGCAGTGGAAACGGTAGTGGCAGTGCCTTTGGCGGTGATACTGGTAGTGGTAGTGATAGTCAGGTAGTGGTAGTGGTAGTGGTAGTGGCAGTGGCAGTGGCAGTGGTGGGATCGGGGTAGGGGTAGGGGTAGCAGCAGCAGTAGCAGCAGTAGCAGCAGGCGCGGCAGCGGCAGCAGCAGGAGCAGAGCAGGAGCAGGAGCAGAAGCAGGAGCAGTAGCAGTAGCAGTCGTCGTCGTAGTAGCGGGCGGCGAAAGCAAGCTTCAAGAATACTAAGACCTTGTCCCTTGTTAGGCTTGAGTTCAGGATTTAGTTTCAGGTGAAAGACGGCAGCTGTCTCGACCCGTGGTCTGCCTCAGTTGCGCTCCAATGAACCGGCATTCCAAACTCCATGGCTACTTGTCGAAAAGCCACCACTACCTTACTGCCACTACTCCCACTCCTGCCACTACTGCCACTACTACCACTACTACCACTACTACCACTACTACCACTACTACCACTACTACCACTACTACCACTACTACCACTACTACCACTACTACCACTACTACCACTACTACCACTACTACCACTACTACCACTACTACCACTACTCTACCGCTACTACTGCTACCACTACTTCTGATGCAGTTGCTGCTTCTTCGTCTGTTTCAGAAGGAGAAAGAAAGCTCCCAATCCAGTTTCCTGGCAGCTGAGGAGGCTGGTCACGACAACAGCCCACGCAGCTTGGCCACAAACGCGGCGGTCGAGTTCTCGTTTCACATCCGATGAATGGCGGGCCTCAGCCCTCAAACTTGTTTCGACGGGTATGGAGGTGTGACACGGATACGAGAGATGGTTCCGGCCCTGCGATTGTCCTTTGTCGCCCTCCTGCCAAGCCTTAAACAACCCAAGCGCGAAATCTTGAGTTTTAAGAAGTGCCTCTCCGCCATCATCAGGAGATGGGAATTATGAGGCCTTGCAGTCAATCCAGAGCTACAAAATTCAGTTTAACATACTTCGATTTTTCTGTCTCCTCGAGCCGCCGTAAACTCAAACATGATGGGTAAGTTGCCGTCCAGGTATTCGTTTCATGCCGGTGCTTCACTTCACGCGACAGCTGGTCGCAAGGCTGGGGAGACCCACTCCTCAGCCCCAGGTTTGGTGATATGGAAGCTTTCCCGATCTTTGTCTAGGTAGCCGGGAGCAGCAATAGGAGAAGTAGAAGAAGTGGACCCGAGAAGAATAGCAAGATCTGTGGCTGGTTAACTGATCATCAGTCTCATCGGCGTTCGGCCTCGCCAACAAAACTGCAGCGAATATGTAGACGAATAATTTTGCGCAGAAAGAGAGCGGCAAGAAACATAGGACAGCAATTATGCCTTCCTGGAAGCATAGGACCCGCCGATATCCCGTCGTCAGACTATAGGGCGACGCTTAGATGATCTGCATTGCTTGGTGTCGAGGCATCTGCGTGAGGTCACCATCAAGGCTGGAAACGGAAAGGGACGTGTAGAGCAGTATGCTGCAGGATTTGCAGGCCGGGATTCGGTGGTGCGGGCATTCGTCATCAATCGTCGCAATGTGGGCTGCAAAACGACGCTTCGGGTACTCACGGCATGAGCACGAGTTAAGCTTCTGCCAAACTGTTCCGTGCAACTATCACAATCCTGCTCACCGTGCCATTCTGCCTCACTGCTCCCGCCCGAAACACAGACTTCCAATCCCGGCCGGAGAGCTTGACCAAAACCTCCGAGATGCTTGAATCAATCGAACTCGAAGTTGGATGAAGCTGAACTACGCTTTGGGATTCAGTGCTCAAGCTCGAAGCCCCTCAAGTCCCATCCGACCTTCCGTACGGGCTTTCGCCAGGCATTCTGAGATCCGCCTACGGTTTAGGGCCTTGCACTGCGCCAGGAGAACAACGTGCTAAATCAGCTCAAGTTCAACAAGGGTGAGGCTTCCGCGGGCGCTGAATTTATGCCTCGGTTTTAGGGCTTCTCGGGCTTGGAGGGTTTAGACTAGAGTTTAGAAGGGTTTTAACGGCTTTAGGATTTAACGATAAGGATTCAGGGTCTGAGGGCTCAGAAGCTGGGGGCGCTGTCGCGAGCACAGTCCTAAGTACCAACCGTTCTTGCGTACAAGCCTAGCAGTTTGAGGATTTGTGCTTGCGGGGTTCGGCTACGACGGGACTTTCGGGACTTTGACTTGGTCATTTTGGAATCATAGTCGCACGAAGGGGCCAGACCGCTTAATCCGAGATACCCAGACCAAGAGTATTCTAGCAACAAGAACCATCACATCCCGGCAGCCCGGAATCCGCCAGCACAAGAGAGCAGCACACATTGCCAGATCTTCAGAGGTTGTCCGGGATTCTGCTCGCATGGCCCGGGCTCACAGCTTGAATGTTGTTTCAATTGTTTGCATGCGGGCAAAGGGCGAGTACAGTTTAAGGCAGCCCGAAAGTAGAGCTTCGGGGGGCGGGGGGGGAACTGTTCGGAAGCACCGAAGCACGGTTCTCGAAAGCCCCCCGCCTAATTGGCAGGTCGCACAGTTCCGAGGCCTTTTCAAGCGACTCTGCGGGGAATATGCTGGAGGCCAGGCAACAGCGGCGGTTTGGGATTGCACGGTTGCGGGCCCGCTAGGTCCGGGTGGCAAGACCCCACCTGCACTGGTCGAAGCTTTGAGTAACTGAGACTGTTGATGAGCATGATCTGGGCTATGAGAAGGATGGCAGGTGTCGTGAGAGTCGCGACCTTCGAACCATAGGAACCTCAGCCTTGATGAGAGCTGAGAAATTGCTTCCCGCGGGAAGTTGTCTAAAAATTCCTGAACCCAAATCCGTAAAGTCCGAGCCCCAAAGCCACGATCGGGAAAGCGGAGAGAACAGGCGAGCCAAGC